ACCTCCTATCTAGGCAAAATGAAGAGGCAAATAGCAAATACCAGGCAGAGTTGCCAAATGCCACTTGGCTCAGTTGCCAAGTACTATGTAACTTGTAACTTACAGGCTCTTTGTGACTCCATAGAAGGAAACAGTGTGAGGAATACTGGTAATGATGATGGCAGTGTACAACGCACCTGACGTTTGAAGGCGTTATACTCTAAGTAGGTACTGACATCAGCATCCTGGTTTACAGATGAGGAAACTGAGGCAGTGGATAGAAGGCATACATCCAAGATCCCTCAGCCAAAGGATGGCAGAGCTGAGGCTAACCTCTGCACAGAACCATACTCTTAGCTACCTAATGGTTTTACTTGAAAGTGATTTTGGATTAAAAAAACAACAAAACATTTTCTTATCCTTTTAAAAAGTTTAAAAGTTTATTTGTGATGCGCTTTAAACTATTGCTTTGATTACTCAGTTTATTTATGTACTCATAACTGTTTACTTCACACAAGTATTTTAAATTTTTTTTTTTCTTGGTACCAGGGATCGAACTCAGATCCTTGTGCTTGCGAGGCAGGCCACTGAACCGCTGAGCTAAATCCCCAGCTTAAATTAATTTTCTAGTTGTTTATTTTCTGTCTTTAATTCAAATGAAGAATAAGAAAAAATGACCAAGTACTATAAGTTAAGAGACCTGAGTTCTAGTCTGGACTTTCTCATGAAATCACTGTGTGGATCAGGCCTCGGGCTCAGTGTCTTCATGTCTATTACACGTTCCTTTCTTTAACTGAACCAGTGTAGGGTATACAAAATGTCATCTGTGAACTTAAGAAACATTGTGGAGTTACAGATGGCTGGGGCAGGTTGCCAAGGGACTAGTGTCTCCATCCTGGCTCTAATGGTGTGTGCTCCAGCTTCCCCTGAACATCTCAGCTATTCGCCAATGTAAGATGCCACAGAGATATGCTTGAGCTGGCCAGGACTCAGTATGATATTTAGAAAGAAAAAAGCTCAAAGATGATCAAGTTCTCTTAAGTAACGTTAAACAAAAGCATACAATGTTTCTTCTAATTTTTTTCTAAAAGCACCTCTCATGTTTGTAAAGAGAAGGACAAGACGAATATGTCAGTCTGTCATGTTTCCTGATTTGACATGTTGGCTGGCAGTTCATCACAAAACAACACATTATATAGGATTCACAAGTTTTAGTGCCAAGCCTTATGCTCAGGCAGCAAGATGGCTAAGAATGCAAGTTCTACATAAATTAGTACCCTGAAACCATATCATCATCCCCAGTTTGCAGGTGAGGAAATGGAGGCAGTGGATAGAAATATGCTTGATAACAGAAATTCTAAACACTTCTTAAACTGAGGTGAAAATTGATTTACTTTTTATTCTAAGAATTTCCTCTCTTTTTTGTAATGCAACTACGCCTTCAATTTTTAAGATACTCAAGAACAAAAGCAAATGGTGGAAGGTCCTACTCATAATATGTCTATAAGAACTCTATTGTTTAAGGAAAATAAGATGTAATTATTAAAAAAAATTACTAGTTTTAGGAAGTATAATGATTTTCTTGTGCCATGCAAATGCATGGAGATCAAATATGATTAATAATTTTGTAACTTTCCACTCAAAACAGTCTGTTTCTCTAAATTATTTAATCATTTGCATATTCAAAATTATTTATGGAGAGGCTTGCATGTGTAAGTAATTAAAGGGACAAATTCTCAATCTCTGTTATAAGGTTAAAAAAAATTTTCGGAAGTCTATGGGCTACACTTTCATTTTTAAAGCATCCAAGAATTAGTCACCTTAGCAACAACTAAGGTTGCATTAAATGCTAAACACTTTTTAAGTAGGGTTGAAAATTGATTTACTTATTCCTCTAAGAATTTCAACTCCTGCTGCTACTCCTATCCTCTTCTCTGAAATGCAACTATGCCTTCAAACACCATTTTTTAAAGGAGGCTTTATGGCTTTGGAGGAATAAGCTGATTTCACAGCCAGTTTTGCCACTGCTGTGGAAAACAGAGTGCATCTGCAAGCCAGCTGAAGTCATAGGACTGCAAGGATTAGGGCTGCAGGGGCCTCCACCACTGCTGTCAAATTGCAATTGGAAACAGCTTTTCCAAAGTACAGCATGAAAAATCAGGGATTCTTGTCCACAGTTCGTTCACCAGCCTGCTGGCTTTCTAATCAGACCTGGCATGACACATTAGAGATCAGAAAAGTGAAAATCACAATGAGCCTAAACAAGGGTATCTTCTGGCTTCCAAGCTTTGCTCTTTCTGGGTCCCTTCCAGGCCTGTAATTACCATCACTCACCAGTTAATAAGAGCACAGTTTCTATGTGAGCAAGGGAGGTCCAAAACGTCTTGGCCCAGTGGAATTACAGGTTCACATCAGAGCCCTCCCTTTTATACCAATTATTGGATGTGCAAAATGTCTAATGGCTCAAATTCTTAACCACCTCTGGGTTACTTCGACTTTAAAGTCACTTAGAGATAAGGCAACTTTTTCAGAGACCATAGAAATACTCATTCAATGGAAGTTATTTTTCTTGGCAATCCAACTTTAAGAAAGAGAATTCTCAAGGAGATAATCTCATATCAGTAATTCCAAAAACATTTAGATGTAGCTCCATTTCCTAATACCTCTGTCTAAACCTGGAAGCAAAAAAAAAAAAAAAAAAAAAGGCAAAACACCCAGGAGCCAATAATCAATATCAAT